CTACTAGATGGCGCGAAGAGACGCATGTAAGCATTTTCCGGAATATACATATGTATAAACATTAAGTTGATAATATTATTATTATACCCTGAACCCATTTTCAATGGGAAATCAGGGTATAATGGTTTTGTTGAAATGTATGTAACAGGCAGAAGGAGGCGTGGCGACCCCACAAAGTATATATATTCTTGATCAGGGCGACGAGCTGAGTCGATTTGGCCCTGTCCGTCTGTCTGTCCGTCCGTCCGTCCGTCTGTCCGTATGTATGAACGCGTCGATTTCGGAAGATATAAGAGCTAGAGACTTCAAATTTTTTTTAAATGTCCGTAATTACAGCGCGCATATCAAGTTTAGCATTAAAAATCGATAACTCATCCCGATCTTTTTTTATCGATAAAAAACCTTATCGAAACCACTGACCAGAGAACACATAGACTAGACATGTAGAACAAACTTTTTCAACACCGAAAAAATGCGCTGAGCGGACCGGACAACTTCGTATTTGGTCGGCTCGGTCTTCTGAGGCTCAAGCAGTGAAAATAAGGCAAGACAAAATCAGTGTGCTGCGACTGCTGCCACGAATTGCACGCATTACTAAATGAAGCATGGCTATGCGCTCTTTTTCCTTACTCACCTCTCTCCCTCTCTTTATGCTCTCTCACTCGCTCTCTATATGGTCTCTCAAATAGCAGCAGCGCACGAAAGTGAATATTGTTCGCGACGATCCCAGCTCTTTCCTCTTGAGTGAAGGGTATACTGAAATTTGTAAAGCATTTGTCACGCTCATGCAAACAAAATGTAAGCGTTTCGATGGTTATTCGTGGGAAGGGTATGAAAGCGTTGATACGCATAAACAATATTATTTCGCGACGGGCAAGTACACACACACTTGTAGTCCCTTGCTACATGTGTGAGCATTTGTGACCTGCGTGCGTTACTCTTGCTGCTTGTAGCAATTTTTAAAGCACAGCATTTGCATTTGGTCGGTCTTACGGACTGTCATAACCACTTTAAACAGATGTACTATGTATGAACATACATACATATGTACATAAGTACATTTATATATTATTATTGCTAATCATGTTTAAAAATGTGTTTATATCCGTAAATAATTATATATAATTAAAATTATTTTATACACATTTTTAACCGAAAAAATTATTGTAAAACACTACTAACTTTATTAAATGCTTTGCAATATATGAAATACACATGTCATATTATACTCAAGCTTTACTCATTATTGTCAAAAATTTCTAATTAAGTCATAATGGCCCATTTGATAGTCACCCTACGATTCAAATCATACAAAATTTACAAACTACTAAATCCGTAGACAATTAGCTTGTCATCCCATACAAGCATACACATACACAAATGTATGTATGCATGTGCTCACTTCACAAGGCAGACCAACGGCAAATTTTGGGCTGATAATAGACGAAAATACTGAGAAAGAATTGAGTTTCGCGACGCACGCACACAAAAGCACATACACGTAGCAAGGATGTAAATGTGTGTGTGCATGCTCGTCGCGAAAATGTATTCTTTCTGTGCAGAACAGGCTGTGCAAATTGTAAAGCCCAAAATTTGCCGTTGGTCTGCCTTGTGAAGTGAGCACATGCATACATACATTTGTGTATGTGTATGCTTGTATGGGATGGCAAGCTAATTGTCTACGGATTTAGTAGTTTGTAAATTTTGTATGATTTGATTCGTAGGGTGACTATCAAAAGGGCCATTATGACTTAATTAGAAATTTTTGACAATAATGAGTAAAGCTTGAGTATAATATGACATGTGTATTTCATATATTGCAAAGCATTTAATAAAGTTAGTAGTGTTTTACGATAATTTTTTCGGTTAAAAATGTGTATAAAATAATTTTAATTATATATAATTATTTACGGATATAAACACATGTATAAACATGATTAGCAATAATAATATATAAATGTACTTATGTACATATGTATGTATGTTCATACATAGTACATCTGTTTAAAGTGGTTATGACAGTCCGTGAGACCGACCAAATGCAAATGCTGTGCTTTAAAATTGCTACAAGCAGCAAGAGTAACGCACGCAGGTCACAAATGCTCACACATGTAGCAAGGGACTACAAGTGTGTGTGTACTTGCCCGTCGCGAAATAATATTGTTTATGCGTATCAACGCTTTCATACCCTTCCCACGAATAACCATCGAAACGCTTACATTTTGTTTGCATGAGCGTGACAAATGCTTTACAAATTTCAGTATACCCTTCACTCAAGAGGAAAGAGCTGGGATCGTCGCGAACAATATTCAATTTCTGTGCGCTGCTGCTATTTGAGAGACCATATAGAGAGAGAGAGAGAGAGAGAGAGCATAAAGAGAGGGAGAGAGTGAGTAAGGGAAAAAGAGCGCATAGCCGTGCTTCATTTAGTAATGCGTGCATTTCGTGGCAGCAGTCGCAGCACACTGATTTTGTCTTGCCTTATTTTCACTGCTTGAGCCTCAGAAGACCGAGCCGACCAAATACGAAGTTGTCTGGTCCGCTCAGCGCATTTTTTCGGTGTTGAAAAAGTTTGTTCTACATGTCTAGTCTATGTGTTCTCTGGTCAGTGTCGAAACCCAGTTATAAAATTATATCTCCTACACCTTTAGAGCTAGAGCTTCCAAATTTTAAATGTAGACTTTTATGTATTTTGTATAATTTCGATTTTTCTTGTAATTTACCCCCACCTTTATATACACCCCCTCTCACTCACCTTTTTAAAAGGCGTATTTCAAGTACTAGAGACTTGTGCTTTAGAATTTACACACATTTGAACATTATGATTATGTTCTAATAGTTTTATTAAGATTGTACGTCTAGAAATTAAATTATTCAAGAAATAAATTCTTATAATGTTGCCCACACTTAGCAAAGCGCGTTCTAATACGTGCGTGTGTATGTATGTATGCCGAAAAGAAGTGCAGAGTAATTAGAATATCAGATTAGAGGGTTCAGGGTATCTCCTAGTCGAGCAGTCTCGACTAGAGTCTTCTTGTTTTTTTTTTTTTAATTACTTTATTTTTATAATTTTTGTATCAAGGCATCTCAAAATGAAATCATGTACCTTTACTGTATTAAGACCAATTTTAATTTTATATTGTTAAGACGAAACTACTTTAAATACCATATAATAATAATATAAACAGCTTGAAGCATATAAAAAAGAATTTAATTATTTGCATTTATTAACAATTATCCATATGTAATAAAATATATCAATATATATTTTATTATATATACAACCATCACACAAATATCCGATTACTTTTGTATTGTATTCTTATACAAAATTGCACGAATCATTTTATGGTGGATGTATGATTTAAATTATTGAAAATTTGTTCATTTCTAAGAACTTCAAATTTTCGATGGAACTATCGATAGTATCGATGGTTCATTCCATCGATGGATAAATCTAGCGAGGGGAACATCTATCCAGTGATGTCATTTCCGCTTTTTTGCCGTCAGATTTGGCTTTTTTAAAAGTGTGATTGCGGGAAAAATTTGAAAACAGCGGGCAGCGGGAATTCCAGCTTTTTTAGCAAATTCAAACCGCTTTTTTTTTTCAAAGTAAATTTTTTCTAAATTTTTACAGCTGTTTTAACGATTTATATGTTAATAATATATTTTACATAAAGTATCGATATTTACTTTAATCGACTAACCTTCTCTTAAAAATTCATACCGATATTGACGCGTTATCTTCTCTAACATTGTGAAATTCGTTTGCGTAGTAAATCATGCCGAAGGAAGTTTAAAAGCAAAAAGTGCGAGATGTGTGGTTACGGGCCACAGAATTCAAGGATTGGCTAAGGAAGGACCCCACAGACGCAACACGGGCGTATTGCAGTTATTGCAATTGCACATTAACTGCCAAATTAAGTGACTTGCAAGCGCATGCGGCTACAAAAAAAGCACGCAGGCTCAATGGAGGGCTATGTGCAAAAAAAACAAATTATCTTTTGTTCAATTGCCCACAAAGACAATTGAGCAGGAGGCAGTGCTTTGTCTATTTGTCAAGGATATGATTTATGCTTAATAAAAATACCTATAGTTTGGTATTCATATACATATGTAATTAAAATCAGCTTTTTTGTCAATCTTTTTCCCTTGAATCCAGCTTTTTTCCGTTTTTTTTTTTATTGTCCTTGATCCAGCTGTTTTTGCTCAGAAAAAAATGACATCACTGCATCTATCGTTGGTTTTGCAGCCCTACTGGTTAGTGGCTCTATTGAACCAGTAAATTTAGTGGAGGTAACATTTTTAGAAAACATCGAACAAAAATATCGATATTTATCGTTTTATTTGAAACATCGATGTAACATCGATCGTTGTGCCACTAACCAGAGAACACATAGACTAGACATGTAGAACAAACTTTTTCAACACCGAAAAAAATCAGTGCGCTGCGACTGCTGCCACAAAATGTACACATTATCAAATGAATCACGGTTATGCGCTCATTTTTCCTTCCTCACTCTCTCCCTCTCTTTATGCTCTCTCTCTCTATGGTCTCTCTAGCTCTATGGTCTGTCAAATAGCAGCAGCGCACAGAAATTGAATATTGTTCGCGACGATCCCAGCTCTTTCCTCTTAAGTAAAGGGTATACCGAAATCATAAAAGCATTTGTGACGCTCATGCAAACAAAATGTAAGCGTTTCGATGGTTATTCGTGGGAAGGGTGTGAAAGCGTTGATACCCATAAAGAAGAAGAGGCTTTACAATTTGCATTTTCGCATTTTCGGTGTTGAAAAAGTTTGTTCTACATGTCTAGTCTATGTGTTCTCTGGTTAATGGTTGTGCCCACCCTTATTTTTTCTATATATAATAAGTCAGCTATTATTTTATTATAATTTGAATTTCCAGACGATTTATTTGTTATGGTATTTATAGTGGTATTTTGTAAAATATTAAATAGTATTTTATAGTATATTTTTGAGACCAAATTGGTATTTTTCGTTTGGTCCGGCACGGTCACCCTGCCCAGCACTACTATAGTACACATAATCATAGTTCGGGATAGCTTATTTACTTTGGAAAATATGTCCTCGGAACTAATAGCAACAGTTTTTGTTGCAATATCATTAAGGTCAATTATATCAATGAGCTCCTACTCTGGATTTAATAAGCCGCCGATGTTTGGTGATTATGAAGCTCAGCGACACTGGCAGGAAGTTACATTTAATTTAGAAGTAAAATTGTGGTATACTAATAGTACGCGCAATGACCTACAGTATTGGGGATTAGATTATCCACCCCTTACAGCATATCACAGTTATTTACTTGGCCATGTAGCAGAGAAACTTAATAAAAGCTTTGTTGAATTATACAAGAGTAGAGGTCTTGAATCAAAGGAGCACAAGAGTTATATGCGCTTTACAGTTTTAGCAGCGGACGCTTTCATTTTTATTCCTGCTATATTGGCTTTGTCTATTTTTATGGATCGCACTTTTAAAAAAAACTTGAGGCAACAAATGCAACTACTCTTCGCAATATATCCAGGCCAAATATTAATCGACAATGGACACTTTCAGTACAATAACATATCCCTTGGACTCGCATCTGTAGCTGTCGCTGCTTTGCTGTGTGATCAAAATTACTTTGCAGCTTTTACCTTTACGTTGGCTTTGAATTATAAACAAATGGAGCTATACCATGCCTTGCCGTTCTTTGCTTACCTCCTGAGCAAATCTCTTTCTGAAAAAAGGTATTTTATTAGAATTAAGTAAATAATTTTAGTGTTTGATCAATCACTCCTTTTTATACCCTGCAGCCATTGAAAATGTGGAATTAGGGTATTATTGGTGTGTTAAGTGTAAGTATGCGTGTCAGATAGCAAAAGTACATATGTACATATATTTTTGATCAGGAGCTGAGTCGATTTAGCCCGTTCATCTGTCTGATTTATGACAGTCAATCTATTTTTATGGGAGATCTAGTCTGTTGCCAAAAGTCTATAACCATACCCGGGTTTTCATTACTAATTGAAAAACTTATAACAATTATTTTCAAAATTATATGTCGCCCCAAAGAAGGAGATAGAGTAAAATAACCACATCATGGAAATATTTTAAAACTTTGGTGAAGATAGTAATTTTATAAAGAATATAGAAAAATATAGAGAGCTCAAATATAATGCAGTATTATACCACAAACCAGACGACACATAGACTAAACATGTAAAACAAACTTTTTCAACACCGAAAAATCTGTCTAGTAGGCCCAAACAACTTCGTATTTGCTCGGCTTTTCACTTTTTTTTTCGGGCTACGAAAATATACGAAACCACAATCATTTCGCTTCATGCGCTCGACCGAGATGGTCAAATGTTGAATAAAAGATGCCTCCATGCTCAATATTTTTCTTGCTCTCACTCTCTGCTCTCTCAAATACCCAGTGGCGACGAGCCCCAGTGGTGGAAATGCCCATTATTTTGTCCATTACTCATGGATTACTTGTCGCCTATATGCATGAAAAGATCGAATACAAACTCCATTACTTTCTTAACAAATGGTCGCGTTTTCTACCGGGTACATGAAATAATTAAATTTTGTAATGCAGAAAGTAATGAAGTGACAAAGTCTCATTCGGTTCTCCATTACCCAAGTGTATACTTTTTATACCCTGAATCCATTGAAAGTATATATATTCTTGATCAGGGCGACGAGCTGAGTTGATTTGGCCCTGTCTGTCTGTCCGTATGTTTGAATGCGTCGATTTCCGAAGATATGAGAGCTAGAGACTTCAAATTTTTTTTTAAATGACCGTATATACAGCGCGGACGTCGAGTTTGCTTTTAAAATTCGATAAATCATCCCGTTATGTTTTTATCGAATAAAAACATTCAAGTTCAAGTCAGCGGCCACTATAGCTAATTGTGATTGATTTTTCATTTTTTTAAATTTCTCAAATATTCAATATAATATGTAGATCATATGCTGAAAGTTTCAACAGCTGTTAGTTTGGTTTAGTACATACATACATTCAAACTTCTAGAACATTCTTTGTATCACATCAGCTGTTAGTTTGGTTTAGTTTTGGTAGATGGCGCTGCAGCAGTGAATCTATTTGAGTTTTGAGAGCTCAGCTTCCAAAAGTGAGGTGGCGTAGTGAGTAGCGGCATGACGCTCGATCGAGAACTCCCGGTTCGAGTCCTGATCGGTGCAACTGATGTTAATTTTTTTAATTGTTTCAAAATATTTTTATATTTTGATAAATGAGTTTTCTATTTAATTTATATTTTTAAATACACCGAAATTGAAATTTTAACCATACTAAATGTGCGTTTTTAATAGTTTGGTTTTTCTAGCAGATTCTTAGATTCACATCAGCAGTTAGTTTGGGTTAGTTTTGCTAGATGGCGCTGCAGCAGTGAATCTATTTCAGTTTTGCCAGCGCAGCTTTCGAAAGTGAGGTGGTGTAGTGAGTAGGTGTGTGGCGCTCGATCGAGAAGTCGCGGGTTCGAAATTCGAATCCCGAGCGGTGCAACTTAAGTTTTTTTTTTAGTTGTTTGAACATATTTATATATTTTATTAAGTGAGTTTTGTATTTAATTTATATTTTTAAATACATCGAAATTGAAATTTTAGCCATACTAAATGGGCATTTTTATACCCTGAACCCATTTTCAATGGGAAATCAGGGTATAATGGTTTTGTTTAAATGTATGTAACAGGCAGAAGGAGGCGTGGCAGACCCCACAAAGTATATATATTCTTGATCAGGGCGACGAGCTGAGTTGATTTGGCCCTGTCCGTCTGTCTCTCCGTCCGTCTGTCAATATCAAGTTTATCATTAAAAATCGATTACTCATCCCGATCTTTTTTTATCGATAAAAAACCTTATCGAAAACCAGTTATAAAATTATATCTCCTACACCTTTATTGCTAGAGTCTCCAAATTTGTTATGTATGCTTATATGCAATTTATGCAATTTCGGTTTTTGTTAAAATTTTCCCCCCACCCCTATATCCACCCCCTCACCAACATGTTTGTAAAAAGGGTATTTCAAATACTAGAGACTTGTGCTGTGGCAAATACATGCATAATCATAATCTAAAAGTTTCATGAAGATCGTATGTCCACAAAAAAAGTTATTAAGCAATTAAGTTCTCATAGTAAGCGCTCACTGCCGCCCATGCGTTTTATGCGTGGGTGCTTGTGTGTGTATGTGTGTGTTTATGTGTTGGTGTATGTGTATGTGTGTGTATGTGTGTGTGTATGCGTGTGTGTGTATGTATGCCTGTGTGTGCGTGTGTGTGTGTGTGTGTTTCTTGTGTAAGCTGAAAGACGCGAAAAATTATTGAAATAGCTATTACTCCAAGGGTTCAGGGGATCTCGTAGTCGAGCAGTCTCGACTATAGCTTTCTTACTTGTTATTAGTTGGGTTCAGGGTAGTATCTAGTCGTGCACTCTCGACTAGAGTTTTCTTACTTGTTATCATTTAAATTTATAATAATTAAAATTTATTTTGCCCCATTAGCTAAATATTATTTACATTCTTAAAATCTAAATTCACTCAGTCTATATTTACAGAACTACACATTAATTTATTGTTTTCTTTTTTGTGGTCAAAATTTTTGCTTCGCCAGCCGACTTTTATGAACCCGCCAGCAGTTCCTAATAGCACTGACCAGAGAACACATAGACTAGACATGTAGAAAAAATTTTTATACAGCAGAAAATGTTAAGTTGGTCGACCACTACACTTCGTATTTGCTCGGCTCGGTCGCTGGAGGTTCGAGCAGTGAAAATATTGCACGACAAAGTCAGTGCGCTGCAAGCGCTCAAACGAAATGGTCCCATTCTTATATGAACCATAGCTATGCGCTATTTGTCCTACTCTCTCTCTCTATCCATCTCTATGGTCGCTCAAGTCACCGAACTCAGTAGCGCTCAAAAATTGAAATTTGTTCATGACGATCCCAGCTCTTTCCTATTGAGTGAGTGGTATACCTAAATCATAAAAGCGTTTATCAGGCTCATGCAAACAAAATGTAGCGTTTCGATGGATATTCGTGGGAAGGGTATGAAAGCGTTGATACGCATAAAGAATATGAATTCGCGACAGGCAAGCACACACACACTTGAAGTCTCTGGAAACATGTGTGAGCATTTGTGGCCTGTGTGCGTAACTCTTGCTGCCTGGGCAGATATTAAAGCCGAAAATTGGTCCCATTGAAAATGGGAAATCAGGGTATAATGGTTTTGTGAAAAAGTATGTAACGGGCAGAAGGAGTCATCACAGACCCCATAAAGTATATATATTCTTGATCAGCACGACGAGCTGAGTCGATATAGCCCTGTCCGTCTGTCCGTCCGTCCGTCCGTATGAGTGCGTCTATCTCAGAACTTATAACAGCTAGAGAGCTGAAATTTGCCATGCATACTCGTGTATACCATATGCAGTACGAGTTTACTTTATTTTTTCGATAACTCATCCGATAACTTTTTTATCGAAAATAATCGAAAAATTGGTTTTGTCTTTTCAGCCTAATTTGAACACTTTTAGACCAGGAGTCTAATTTGCGTTGTATATAAAGTTAATGGATACAAAGATTTTGTAATTTACAGATTTTGGATACCACGCCCTCTTCGCCCCCAATTTGTAAATTCAAGTACTAGAGACTTGTGCTTTGGAATGTACACACATTTTAAACATATGATTACGCTCTGAAAGTTTCATTAAGATCGTATGCCTACAAAAGAAATTATTCAACAAATAAATTTTCATAATATTGCCCACATTGCAGCGCAGCCCAAGCGCAGCCGCTGCTTACTGCGCAGTCAGCACAGCGCGTTCTAATACGTGTGTGTGTATGTATGTGTGTCGAAAAGAAGTGCAGACTGATTAGAATATCAGATTAGAGGGTTCAGGGTATCTCCTAGTCGAGCAGTCTCGACTGGAGCCTTCTTACTTGTTTGACTTAGAAATTGATAAATATTATGCCACACGGTATAATTCAAACTTGTCATCTTAGATTTTTGGCAAGGCTATTAGGCGCAAATCTTGATATGTTCTTTTTTATACCCTGAACCCATTGAAAATGGGAAATCAGGGTATAATGGTTTTGTTAAAAGTATGTAACAGTCAGAAGGAGGCGTGGCAGAGCCCACAAAGTATAGATATTCTTGATCAGGGTTACGAGATAAGTCGATTTGGCCTTGTCCGTCTGTCTGTCCGTCCGTCCGTCCGTCCGTCCGTCCGTCCGTATGTATAAACGCGTCGATCTCAGGAGATAGAGGTAGAGACTTGAAATTTTTTTTCCTAGGTCCGTGTATATCGCACGCCTATCGAGCTTTTCTCTATATATCGATAACTACTCCCGATATTTTATTATCGATCAAAAACCTTATCGAACGCTAGTTATTTAATTATATCTCCTACACCTTTACAGCTAGAGCTTAAAAATTTTAAATGTAGACTTTTATGTACTTTATATAATTTAGATTTTTGTTGTAATTTACCCCCCACCCATTTATCCACCCCCTCACCCTCACCTTTGTAAAAGGCGTATTTCAAGTACTGAAGACTTGTGCTTTAGAATGTACATATATTTTCATCATATGATTACGCTCTGAAAGATTGTACGTCTAGAAATTAAATTATTCAAGAAATAAATTCTTATAATGTTGCCTACACTGCAGCACAGCCCAAGCGCAGTCGCTGCTTACTGCACAGTTAGCAGAGCGCGTTCTAATACGTGCGTGTATATGTTTGCCGATTAGAATATCAGATTGGGGGGTTCAGGGTATCTCCTAGTCGAGCAGTCTCCACTAGAGTCTTACTTGTTATACTCATTCACGAAAGTGAATCAGTATATTGGTTTTGTGCAATGTCCGTCTTGCTGTCCGTCCGTCTGTCCGTCTGTCCGTCCGTCCGTCTGTCCGTCTGTCCGTATGAACGCAATCTATTTCGGCGCTATTGAAGCTAGAGACTTGAAATTTGGAACACATACTCTTGTATATATCCGATTTATAAAGTGTTAAAATTTTCCCGATCCGCCCACTAGGGGCGTGGCAAATCGGAAAATGCATTTTCCGATATACCAGAAATCATGTTAGTTAAAGAGCTAGAAAGCTGAAATTTGGTATGTAAAGATAATGTAAAGATAAAATTATAAGTCTATGCCCATTGGGGGCGTGGCAAATCGGACCTGAAGATATAGTGATTTTTTAAATTCTCCTATATTTTGGACACTATTGATGGCAGAGACTTCAAATTTTGTATATATACTCGGACTGATTACCCAAGACCAAAAAGTTTTGTCGGATATATGTCCGCCCACAGGGGGCGTGGCAAACCACAAAAGTTTATATCTCCTAAAGTATAATAGCTAGAAGCTTTAAATTTGGATAGTTGAGTTACTGGTAGCCTCCTCTATCGATTCCCCAAAAATAATTTTTACGCCTCTTTAGGGGCGTGGCATATCGAAAAATACCCTGTAATTTTCACATTTTTTGAGGTTAAGCATTCAAACTTTGCAGTTAGGGTACCGTTATCTCTTTCTAAAAACTGACCAAAAATGAGGTGTCTACGCCCAGTTGGGGCGTGGCAAATCGGAAAAACCTGTATATTCTACAGTATTAGAGCGAAACTTAGCTACTAAATTGTTGATGGGATGTGAATGAGTATTCCGCAGTCGGTAACGCCCGACTGCAACGTTCTTACTTGTTTTTTATATAAAAACATGTAATATTTCTGTAAATAATATTGTAATTTTTGAGTATTAAATTGTTATTTTTGAGAAAAAAAAAATTTGTTGTAATTTTTGAGAATTAAATTTTTTGGAAGTGATTCGGGCGGGCGGGTTGGATGCGGGTATGAAATTTTTTTTTGCTTTAGGGTACGGATAAAATTTTGAACTTTTGACCGTGGGCGGATCGGGCCGGATGCAAAAAAGTCAGGGTATTAAAACAAAGGTTGTTATAATAATAACAATTCATATGTATATTTATATGTATGTTTGCATGCACAAGCCACTTATATAAATTTTGGCACGATTTACAGTAGAAAACACTGAATTGATAATAAAAGGTCGTTTGGCACACACCCCTTTGCAGATTCGAAATAGCTCGATTTCGTCTGCCCTTGGCAGGCACCGCCAATGCTCATGTACTATGAACATACACACACTTACAACATACCACAGGCAGCAAGAATAGTTTCACATCCTGACACATAATGGCAACTACATGTAAAACGGGACTGCTACGGACGATTGACGAACATATTGGGAAAGAATAGAGTTTCGCGACACACGCACACTAAAGCCCATGTTGTAAATGTGTGTGTGCATGCTCGTTAGAGGCCTGCATGGGTATACTCGCTTGCGGCCGTCTTCCAAATATACTGATATTTGCAAGTGTTTGAGCATCGCAAGCATTGCTGCAAAACGAAACGAATGGTCGCCAAGTATTCTGTTTACTTCATACGCTTTGAGCAGAGGAAAACAAAAACCCAGACAAACGAAATGAAACGAAAAGGGAGTAGCGTCAAAAATGTTACGGTACTTTTATCGTGCGTTGAGCGCTGTTGTTGAGAAAACATCAGGCTAGAATTGGCTAATTGGCCATGATTAATGATATATATACATATATGTATATATATTTTTTTGAAACTGAAATTTAAATAAATATTAAATATTAATTTAAATCTAAATATATATTAAAATCCTTTGAATAAAATCTTATAATTTGTATTTCTAAATAAACATGTGTTTGTGCTAAATCTACCTTGAGATAGCCTAAGCTGGCAACACTAGCTGATAGCTAAAACGAAAACAAAATTCGAATGATGCTTTATCGTTTCTTTCGTTCGTTGCTTCCTTATTGTAAAAGCATTTGCGTACAGAACTTTTCTGTCTGTGAGCATAGCACTATTTGAAAACAAGTAATACCGTTGCAGTCGGGCGTTACCGACTGCGGAATACTCATTCACATCCCATCAACAATTTAGTAGTTATGTTTCGCTCTAATACTGTAGAAAATACAGCCCCTACAGGGCGTAGACACCTCATTTTTGGTCAGTTCTTCTTCCAATGAGGCGTAAAAATTATTTTTGAGTCATCGATAGAGAAGGTTACTGGTAACTTAACTCTCTAAATTTGAAGCTTCTAGCTATTATACTTTAGGAGATATCAACTTTTGCGGTTTGCCACGCCCCCTGTGGGCGGACATATATCCGACAAAACTTTTTGGTCTTGGGTGATCAGCCCGAGTATATATACATAATTTGAAGTCTCTGGCATCAATAGTGTCCAAAATATAGCAGAATTCGAAAAATCACTAGATCTTCAGGTCCGATTTGCCACGCCCCTAATGGGCGTCGACTTATAATTTTATCTTTAGACTTTATAGAATCATAACATTAGCTGACGTGCAAAATTTCAGCATTCTAGGTTTACAACTTTAGGAGATACAGTTTTAGCCGATTTGCCACGCCTCCAATGGGCGGAAATATATCCGCCATAGCTCATTATCTTGGCTGGTCAACGCGGACCTACATACCAAATTTCATCTTTCTAGCTCTTCAACTAACATGATTTCTGGTATATCGGAAAATGAATTTTCCGATTTGCCACGCCCCTAGTGGGCGGATCGGGAAAATTTTAACACTTTATAAATCGGAGATATACACGAGAATGTGTTCCAAATTTCAAGTCTCTAGCTTCAATAGCGCCGAAATAGATTGCGTTCATACGGACAGACGGACGGACGGACAGCAAGACGGACATTGCACAAAACCAATATACTGATTCACTTTCGTGAATGAGTACAAAAAGACATTTGCTTTGGCAAATGCATTCATATCCAAGTTATAATCATGTTTATGCGTGAGTACATATGCCTGTGTATTGAAATATCAGTTACTCGAAGGGTTCAGGGGATCTCGTAGTCGAGCAGTCTCGACTAGAGCTTTCTTACTTGTATGAAACTTGTATTTGTTAAAGACATATTTACATGCGGCTGACTTCCCTGCTCATGCCTTTAGGGGAGTTTATTGAAATTTCGCAAGTAAATCAATGAATATGGACTCCCAATTGTTTTGTATTTTTTCGACGCAAAGTCGGGGTATGGAGTATAATATGATAGCGTTGCCACTAATATCAGGATTGCCAGATTAACCAATTTTGTATCAAGTTGGCTTTAAATGTATCATTTTTCTAGAGATTTGTTATACCCTGAACCCATTGAAAATGGGAAAGGGTATAATGGTATAATTTTGTGAAAAAGTATGTAACGGGCAGAAGGAATCATCGCAGACCCCATAAAGTATATAAATTCTTGATCAGCACGACGAGCTGATATAGCCCTGTCCGTCCGTCCGTCCGTATGAGTGCGTCGATCTCAGAAGTTATAAGAGCTAGAGAGCTGAAATTTGGCATGCATTTTCGTGCGTACCATACGCAGTACAAGTTTATCATATTTTTTCGATATTCTATAACTTTTTATCGAAAACTTTTTTATCGAAAATAATCGAAAAATCGAAATTTTTTCAGCCTAATTTGAACACTTTAAGACCTAGACACTTCAGATTTACTGCGTATATACAGTTGATCGATATGAAGATTTTGTTATTTACAGATTTGTAAAAAACGCATTTCAAGTACTAGAGACTTGTATGTACACACATTTTCACATTTTTATATGAAATCGATCTTAAAGTTTCAAAAAGATAGTCCATCTACAAAGGAAACTATTCAACAATTAAATTCTTATAATATTGCCCACACTGCAGCGTAGCCAAGCGCAGTCGCTGCTAACTACGCAGTCAGCAGAGCGCGTGATTGCACGTTCGTGTGGATGCGTATGTATGCATGTGTGCATAAAGAAGTGCAGAATGAGTAGAATATCAGCTTGGAGGGTTCAGGGTCCTAGTCGAGCAGTCTCGACTAGAGCCTTCTTACTTGTTTTGATTATAAACTTGGGTCGAAAAGATAAGACTAATACAATATATTCGCCTATTCAAGCAAATAGAACAAATATAGTTTGCAGGATACTTAAAAATGTACTTTATTGAAGGCGCAAATTGAAAAGTGGTAAAGTTTTGAATGTGTTTGTTAGTGCTTTTTCTTCAGTCTGTAGCTATTGAGATATATTATTATATATATATATATAATATTTATTTATTTTTAGTGTAAACTCGGCCGTTAAAGAGCTTACTAAAGTAGCTACCATTGTGCTATTCACTTTTGTGATTTTATGGTATCCCTGGTTAAATTCAACTCATTCAACTGCAGAAGTATTCCACCGCCTCTTCCCTCTTGGACGTGGGGTATTTGAAGACAAAGTCGCCAATGTTTGGTGCAGCATTAATATCGTTTATAAATTAAGGTAAATAATACCTTTCTTTGTTTGTTAATTGTTGATATGTAATTTTACATATTTTTGATTTTTTAGAAAATACATAAGTAATCACAAAATGGCATTAATTTGTTTTGGAACTACATTATTAGCAGCTCTACCTATTAATGTGCATCTCTTTTTCCGGCGAAGTAAATACACATTCATTTTAACTTTATTTAATACAGCTGCTGCATTTTTCTTGTTTTCATTTCAAGTATGTATAAACAATATATTATATATACCAAGTTAATTCAAAACATTTTTTTATAGGTTCATGAAAAGTCAATTTTGCTTGTAGCACTGCCGTCCTTTTGCTTAATTTACTGGTGGCCAACGGAAATGCTATGGTTTCTTAAAGTTTCCGTTTTCAGTATGATTCCACTCCTAAAAAAAGATAATTTGTTAGTTCCAACAGTGGCTCTTATGATTATTTTTCGTTTCACTTTTAAAAATTGGGTGTTCAAAACGGATGACATTACTATATCTAAAAGGTATTTTAAAATGTCAATTGAACAAGTCTCAGAAATTTTAATGATTGCCACTTTGTTAGCGTTTTTATTAATAGAACCACCGTCTAGGTTTCCGGACACTTGGCCATTAATAATTTCTATAATAAGTTGTGGTCATATATTAATATTTCTAATTTGGGGTTATACCAAACAGTTAACGTAAATCTTATTAATAAAAAACTTGATAAATCGAATATTATGTTTTTATTTATTACTTATTTACTCTTTTACTAGCATATTAAAATTAAATATTTTTTGAATTAGGAGTTTTGTTAAGATAATTAAAAGTTTGTGTCCTTTACCACTGAACGAATACACTTGACTTTGATGGTGTTTAGTTTTGTATTAATCTTTATTCTTCTGAGCCTGGGTTTATATACCCAGACTCATGCATAATTTCAACCCTTAAATCTAGTGCGTCTATTGCTGAGTGTGTAAGGCTCAGCATTGGTCTATTACATGTTCTTATCTTATCGCTGAGTTTGTAAGGCTCCGCGTGGGTCTATTAGCTATTCTTATCCTATCGCTGAGGTTGTAAGGCTCAGCGTTCGTCTCTTACATAATCTTGTCACTAAGAGTCAGAGTCATATTTTACTTCTAGTTTGACAGTTCCCACTTTCACATGTGTTATCTATTATTTGTATGCTAACTGTTGAGTACTTAGAGTGTATGTTCCCATACTTATCATATTTCTATGTTCATGCACGTGCATGAACATTCTGCGGGGGGCCAGAGAAGGTGATAGCTAACAATTGCTGTCTCTGGTTTCTTTTCTTAATTAGGTACAAGGCAATTAGAGATATTATAATTATTACTAGTCCCAAAGAAATATGTCCATTCATTGTGTGGAAGATAAGATCCTCAATAAGTACTTTTTGACGCTGCAAATCCTTTATACTCTGTTGTACCCGTTGTAGCTCCACTGAGTTAATTAAGACAATGTGTTGAAGTGGTGTTGGATCCCATGTGGTGTTGTGGTCGATTATTTTAAGGAAAAGTGGAGAGTATCTCGCAGTATTTGTAGATACTAAGTCCTGCGGAGTTATAATGCTAATTTTACCTATCTTGGCTGAGCATCAAGCGTATAGCTCGCTTATGCCTTGGCTTGGTAAAAGGACCATGTGTAATGTGGACTGACTTTTTCTCAAATATCTTGAAGAGCCACCGGTTTTTCCCATTGAGTTTTTTGACGAACGTGTCCTCCTCGTATTCCATCATTTTGCACGGCTGCTTGTTGTTCGGTTTTAAGGGAGATATTTCACAACTTTCGTCATCTGCATTTTCCCACGCCCAACTTCCTTCGCACAGATATGTGGTTTCGTCTTCATGCCGGCAATGACCGACTTCCATTTCAGTCATTGAGTGATAGGCGTTCATCTCAGTGTTGAAGATAAGGAATTTCGTTTTAGTCCTCGGAATAACCTTTCTTCCTTTAATTACAAGTGGTATGGGTACCGCTTCAAATAGAGTGGCATGCTGATTTATGTACATTGGTAACCTTGCATGTTGTCTTTAAATATAGCTTGCGCTTTCATTAGTTTGTACACTAACTGCAGCCTTTTCGGAGAGTTTTCGGCAGGAAGAAGTTGTCCTGTGCAGTTTCTGTTGGATCTTGTTGAGTTCGGCTAACATCTTATTTGGTTCGATTAGCGATGGGTGCACTTTTCCTTGGTTAATATCCGTCACCGGGGCAATTACTGCTGACTGGAGATCTTTTGTTTATTTCCTTTGTAACCTTTTCAAAGTTTTTATTAACTTCCTCTATGGTGGTTTGTACAAGGTTTGATGTTGCATTGATTATGGATTTTTGGTTGCTGACATAATCATTTTGCCGCTTTTCGTTTTTGATTATTGTCTGCATGTTTTCTTCCAGTCTGTTTGCAGTGCCAATATCGAAAAACATTATGAACCGTTTTGATCTGTTGGCCGTTTGGGTGATAATTTTATTTTTCTCTCTAATGTTTTTTATTATACCCTGAACCCATTGAAAATGGGAAATCAGGGTATAATGGTTTTGTTGAAATGTATGTAACAGGCAGAAGGAGGTGTGGCAGACCCCACAAAGTATATATATTCTTGATCAGGGTGACGAGCTGAGTCGATTTGGCCCTGTCCGTCTGTCTGTCTGTCTGTCTGTCCGTCTGTCAGTCTGTCCGTATGTTTGAGCGCGTCGATTTCCGAAGATATAAGAGCTAGAGACTTCAAATTTTGTTTTTAAATGTCCGTAATTACAGCGCGCATATCAAGTTTATCATTAAAAATCGATAACTCATCCCGATCTTTTTTTATCGATAAAAAACCTTATCGAAAACCAGTTATAAAATTATATCTTCTACACCTTTATTGCTAGAGTCTCCAAATTTTTAATGTATGCTTATATGCAATTTATACAATTTCGATTTTTGTTAAAATTTACCCCCCACCCTTAAATTCACCCCCTCACCCTCACTTTTGTAAAAAGCGTATTTCAAATACTAGAGACTTGTGCTTTGGCAATTACATGCATATTCATAATCTGAAAGTATCATGAAGATCGTACGTCCATAAAAAAAGTTATTAAACAATTAAGTTCTCATAGTAAGCGCACACTGCAGCCCATGCGTGTTTATGCGTGGGTGCTTGTGTGTGTGTATGCGTTTGTGTGTGTATGCGTGTGTGTGTGTGTGTATGTGTGTGTGTATGCGTGTGTGTATACGTGTTTCTTGTGTAAGCTGAAAGACGCGAAAAATTATTGAAATATCTATTGCTCCAAGGGTTCAGGGGATCTCGTAGTCGAGCAGTCTCGACTAGAGCTTTCTTACTTGTTTTTAACATTATTGTGTTGCTCACTGTTGTGCAGTATTCGTTGAAATCATACAATTTTTCGCAAATGATGTCTGTTTTACTCATGAACTCTTCTGCTTGTTTCAGTACTTCGAAATAGGCTTGCATGTCGTAGTAAAACAGCATCTGCCAGCTTGATGAAACGACTTCCACTTTTCCAAGGTTGTCCATTAGCATTGCCGTTTGTGGATCCATATCCTGAATTTTGAGGTTGGTGGTTGCGTTTATAGCAGACATAATTGTAGTACTTGTTACTTGCAACATCATTAGCAAACTTAAAAACGTCGCTTTTTCGGTCGCAGACTTTCCTGATCGTGTTTTTCTTCGATCTTTTGGAAAGGCGTCTTGTTAGACTTATCTTCTCCCAGCGTATTACCTGCTAGTCGTTGAGTGCGTCGGAGGCATGTATACGATCTTCGTATATTCATATGTTCATGCCTGAACAGCATCTCTGTCGCCGTTATGAATGTGCTTGCGAAAAGTGTGAGAGCATAAGAATGAGCGCACTGAATACCGCGTGTGTGAATGAATGAGTTAGTGAGATGGTTAAGTAAACTTGCTCATTGGAAGAATAACCCTGCATTACGGTTAAGCGAGCAGAACTTCTAATCAGCGTTTGAAAATGCTACGCTACTCCGTAGTTTTTCGTTTTTCTCTCGCTACCGCTCTTGTTTTTGACGAGAGTCGTAGCAGAGCCGTAGCCTAACAAAAAAAGTTTTTGCTCTGCTCTGCTCTCGTAGTTTGTTGTCTTAAAATCTGTAGCGATAGCAATAGCACAAAACGAAATGATGCGCTACGCTCTGCCGTAGCGGTCTGAAAAAAGATAGCGAAAGCGATAGCTGAAAACAGAGAGCGAGATGAAATCATAGCAAGATGAGAACAGAGCCAGATGAGAACATAGCAGATGATAACAGAGCGAGATGAGTGTTGGGCTCAGCAATCATCGCTTCATTGTAATTAAGAGCGGCAGTTCATAGAATATGTTATCATGTAAGAGAATTTGTAACGGAGATCACGCTCTCCCTTTTGCGTTGTCTCTTTCACCCACGCACCGGCTCAGCTTAATCCGCCGGCTCGCGTACATTGTAATTAGTATGCAATTAACTCTTGTTTAGAGCAGATGCAGTGTTAGATTGACTATTACAAACATAGTAGCGGACAGCACGACAGACTAGTCGCTTGCTCGCGTCTATCACATAAACTCTGTAAACTCTAATAATCGCTAATAAACTAATCACTAAGTAAATTCAATCGTTTAATAATTTAAAGCTATTCGAAAAATCTCGATAGCTCAACATTTGGTGACCCCGACGTGATCTCTTTTCGTTTCTTTACATATTTGCATATATATATTGACAGCATCACATACATACATACACCCGTGAACATAAGCAGTGTATATAGCGATTAGTTGCGTGCCGTTACTTTGCCAATTCGCCAGACACTCTTTCGTTCGGTCTGCAATACACTGGCGCCCGTAAAAGTAGTACACCTGCGAAAACTTCTGCAAATGACAATCTAATAAAGAATCAACTAATTTCTGAACTATGTCTATGGTTAGTAACTGCGTGTTCTATAGCTTCAATCTATAAGTGATTAAGTTTGCATAAGCACAGTGTAATTACATGCTTGCCGTTATTCTTCGTTGACATTGCACTTTTTCGCCACGGCTGCGATACGAGCGCGTCCATAATAATCGTACCGGTGTGCAACAATTCATACGTGTATATTATTTGAGTACCATAATATAATTCTTTGCCAGTTTATTAAAGTTGCAAGTACTCTGCTCGACAAATACGACTTATTCCAAGTCTGCGCTATAGCATATATACATTTACTTACTCTTGCAATCGCGCTCGCACCAACGACTTTGAACTCTATCGTGTTGCTCTTGCTGTACTCGTCATGGCGAATTTAGATGCTAGTGCAGTTGCTCCCGAAGATCGCGTGCGGTTTTATAAGCTCAAGGTACAGTCGGTATTTGAACGCGTAAAAAAGCTACAATCCAAGGTCGATTCAGATGCTCTTGCCGATCACAGTGACAGCACTCTAAATGTTCTACTGGAGCATATCGACAAGCTAAGCCACTCCTTTAGCAAGGCCCATGAAAGTCTAGAGGAGCTCGACTTTACTGAGATGTCCAGCAATTTGCGCACTGACTTTGATGATTTAATAATGGTCATGCAGTCAACAATAATGTCCGAAGTGCAAAGTCGTACTGCTCAAGTGCATCATAGTTCCACGTTTAGTCGTCCAAGTGACCCTCCTCGCGCATCCGCTCCCAGATTGCAGGCTGCACCTGCGTTGCCGCCATTAAAGTTACCTACGTTCAGCGGTGGATATGCTAATTGGGCTGATTTCTACTCAATGT